CCCCCCCCCCCTCCCGTCCTTGCAGCTAGCTTTCATTGCCCGCTGGTGCAGAACACATACGAGAGTCACGAATAATGTACAAGCAGACGCCGCGATCGCCCCGTGTTTCTCGGCCAAACACTGACCTCTTTTTATTTTGTGTCCACGTGCTCTTCGGGATGGCAGAGAGACCGGTCGTCTTCATCGTCGAGGGGGTGACCCGCATCCGCCCATCAAAAACGCCTTCCGTCTCCACGCTCTCCAAAGCTCCCTCTTGTCGGAAGCACAAACACCATGTCAAAAACCCACACTCCGGCGCTAAACGCCCCCCCCCCGCACACTACGGCGTGCGTTCACAACAAGCCGGCCTCGCGTACTACGACAGCATCTATCTGGGCATCACTGACTGCATCTCCGGCCTGCGTTCACAACAAGCCGGCCTCTTGCCGCTTGCGTGCGTGCTGCGACGGCATCTATCTGGGCACCACCGCACTACATCTCGGGACTGCGTGCACAACAAGGCAGCCTTGCGTGCTATTCCTACAGCACCTATCTGGGCACCACCGAACACCACCGAACGCGTCTCCAGCCTGCGTGCACAACAAGCCTATCTGGGCATACCACCGAATGGACCACGTGCGCAACAAGCCAGCCTCCCTAGCCACGAGCATTCTACGATAGGGCACATGCATCTATCTGCGATTACTTCTTGTCGTTACGGCTGTTGCTGTTGCTGCTGCTGCTGCTGCTGCCAGCCCTCGCTACGTTGCCGTGAACTTGGAGATGGAGGTGCGGAGGTGTTGCAAGTCCCCCAGGTTCTGGGAGGCAAAGTTGAGCTGCTTCAAGCGCGACTTGGGCGGCTTCACCGTGAAGAAGTAGAGCGGGGTTGGATGCCCCTTGAACGATTTTACCTATTTACAACACATTCATAAACCATAACCATAACGATGTTTTCGGTAAGGGAAAGGGGGCGCGGGCACGGCGTTGAGGAGGGTATGTTTGTGTGTGTGTGTGAGGCTGGCGGGGGAAGCCCATCGCGATCCAAGCAAAGGGGTCGAACGCCCGGCATTCGACCAGCAGCGAAGGGTGCCTTGTCCGGGATAAGCCCCGAACCAGATCCAAGCGACAAGAAGCCGGAAAGCAAGCCCCACGCATCAGCGACAAACACACACAAAAGCACGACGGCTGCGAACAAAACAAAACAAAACAAAGCAGGACGCATCCGACACAAAGCGCACACCAGGCCAAGACACCAACAGAGTGAGTTTTTTTCTCACTAAATAAATCCTGGTCTAGGATGAAAGCGACGCGCTGCAAACTTCATTGTTAGTAAACCATAATCGACTTCGTACGTCGCGAGGGAAGGGATTGCTGTACCCTTCTCGCGATAAAAATATCTCAGGCAGGAACCGCAGGAGGGGGTCCAGCCCCCCCCTCCTATCTATGTGACCCCGGTTAGGTCGTCTAGCTGATAGAAGTGAAGAATGGGGGCCAGAGGGGCAGACGACAGAGTCCAATCATAGGAGACAAAAAAAAAAAAAACTGCGACGCGCGTCTCGCAACACGCGGGGAAAAGACGACCGACCGCTCTCTTCTGTAGCAACAAATACTCGCCTTTATCGGTCCGCACTTGAAGAGGTTGCTGAGCTTGTACGCCTTGACTCTCTCGTTGATTCGACGGTTCTCGAACACAGCTAGCACCATACGGTCGTAGCTCTGCCGAGCGAACACGCAAGGGCGGCGGCGACGGCGGTAGTCGGCGAACCAACGGTGTTGCTCGCTACAGCAATGACTACGTGAGTGCGTGCTAACGGGGGGTGGTCGTGAAGAATCTACGCGCGACGCTCACGCTGCCGGCATTACGTATCTTGCTGTGATCTGAAGGGCGTGATAGCACACCGGAGCCGCTTACTCTGTCACAACGACAAAAAAATAGCAAAAACACCGTGCGGTTCGATGCCGCTCTCGATGATGGGACGAAGAAACAACTGACAAAACTACATCGATGACTAGATTGACTCACTGCGAACACATTCGTCTCACCTTGTGCGTTTCCACTACACGCGTATCATACACCATGGGGGTAAAGAGAAATAAGGTCGGTCGGCGTCTGTGTCGACGGCCAACTGCTCGAACGGGTTATACCACGGGACAGGTTCCTGCGACACGATATGACAGGCATGTGGCAACACATGACATCACAGCGGCCGGCAAAAATGACAACAGCAACAGCAACAGCAAACAAAAACAACTCCACCACCTCCACCAACACCAACGACAACAACAACTATGACAACACACATTTATTCCACCTGCATGGAATGAATGCAGAGACCCAAGTCAACACCCAACATCCCACCTGCTTGGAAACGTAGACCTGTAGGACGTGGACCTTGGCCACCGCGCCCCCCAGGACGAAGTACCGCCTCTGCCAGGCGGAAAAACTCCGAGGAACCCCTACTGTCTTCTTGAAGAGGATCTGGCCCACGTTGTCTTCCTGGTCCAGCTGCCCGCGCTCGAACTCCACTCGCAACGGCCTCGCTGCGTTCTGCAAAAACAATTGTTAGGGTTGATGATTAACGAGTCGCAGGCTTTGTCGAACACCGAACCGACAAGAAACACGGCCACCCACACATAAGAGTAAGAATTCATTTTTCCGAACGAGTTGCAAGGAGAAACGGGGATAAAACACAACGTTACATGCCGCCTGGAAGAGGGAGCTTCGACAAAAGAGAAAAAAGCCGCCACGGATACCGACCAAGCGAAACCCGAGGAAGTGGATTGGTTGGCCGACGAATGCGATCTCAGTCTTCCGAAAACTTTCGAGAGAATGTCACAAATGCAGCAAAACAAAAGGTGAGGTAGTCGTTGTGTGCGTGTAGACTACTTGGTGCCAAGATAGCCGGCTTGTATCAGTACGACAGCCGGCGTGCATCAACACCGAAAGGTGGAGTGCAGCACACATTCCAGAGCTCCAACAAGGGAAAGGAGGAGTACCGCCTCGACTTCATCCTCATGCGTCAGGCGGACCGGCGTTTCGTGCGCAATGTCTCCGTCAAACGTGTCGACTTCAAAGACTCTGACCACAACCTCGTGCTTACGACTGTCCGCCTCCCCCCCCGTGTCGCACCCAACCGACGAGTGCGGGGGAACAGCGGAAGCAGCCGGATCCGTATCGACCTCGAGCGGTTGAGGAAGGACAAACACCTACGGGACGCCTTCCAAAACAGGGCCTCTAGCCGCCCTCCGCCCACGGCGCTCAGGCGGCCAACGGGAGAGACCGCCGCCGAGCTGACGGCTACGGTGATGTCGGCCGCTGCTGAGACCGCGCCGCTGGCGAGGTGCGCACGAGGGCAGAGAGGCTGGTACACGAGCGAAGCGCAGCACGAGATCTCTGACGCGTCGAAGGAGATTAAGGCGGCCCAGCAGCAACTGCGCGGGGCCTCAAAGAACAGCGCCTGCGAGGCGACCCTGAAGGCGATGCTCAAGGCGGCGCGGAAGAAGCGCAGCATCGCGAGGTGGAGAGCACTGGAAAAGTTCTTCGAGGGCTATGTACGGCAGCTCGAGAAGAAGAGCCGCGAGGGGGATCAGGCGGGTTTCTACAGGCACCTGAAGATGATCGACGTCGAAGGTAAGAGGTCGTTCACCTCTCAGAACATCAAGGACGAGGACGGCAAGGTCCTTCGGGACCCCACGTTTATTCGCCAACGGTGGGCACGGTGGTTCCACAAGCTTCTCAACACCAAGTCGCCGACCATCGACCTGCATGCGGCTGACAAGGTCAAGCGGTGGCCCACGTGCGTGCCACTCGACGACATCCCATCTCTACTTGAGGTTGAGGAAGCGGTACGG